AGAGTCAGCCATAGTTTGTTGTGATCCACACAGTCAAATGCCTTTGCATAATTAAGGAAACACAGACATTGCTCTGGTACTCTCTGATTTCAGCCAAGATCCAGATAACATTAGCTATAATATCCCTAGTGCCACGGCCTCTTCTAAATCCAGCCTGCACTTCAGGCAGTTCTCTGTTGATGTGCTGGTCCAGTTGTTTTTGGATAGTCTTCAGCCGAATCTAGCATGCATGTGATAGCAATGAGATATTGTTTGATAATTTCCACAATCTGCTGGATCACCTTTCTTTGGAATGGGAACAAATATAGATCTCTTCCAGTCAGTTGGCCTGGTGGTTGTTCTCAAGATTTCTTGGCACAACTTGGTAAGCACATCCAGGGCAGCATCAGTTTGTGGAAACATGTCAATCGGTATACCATCAATTCCTGGAGTGAGTTGCTTCTGGGTAGAAAGATGGGAAATCTCCATTTATGTTATTTACTGCCTCTGAAAACCTGCTGGAGGATCTGCTATGGGTCCTTTCCAATTCGACAATACCAGAATTATTTTTAAAATAAAAAAGCAAACATCTTATGCAAAGAATTTGGAAACTTATTAAAATCTGAAAAGCCATTATATTTGTGAGGCTTGTTTTAAAAATAAAGGAAATGGCATTTTGTGCCTGACTCCAGGGTAATTGGGTGAAAAGGTATTCACTCAGTTTATCCTAAAAAGCAGTGGCCAGCACTCAAGAATGAGATTCCAGAGACCATTTTTAAGGCCTCTTCAGTGCACCAAATTGTCAAGGTCTCTGTAGGTAACAGCACCCTACTCTGATGCCACAAAATGTCTAATATTTACAGTTGCTCAGGAGGGCAGGCAGTGCTGATGAAATCAGACTGTCAAGGTAGCTAAAGAGAACAGCAGCAGAAGCTGTCAACTGCTATACACCCCGAAGTACAAAAGAAGAAAGGCAACCTGGGTCTCTCGGAGAGTAGTCTCAAGCCCCACCTCCCGTGTCTGGAAACACGGAGGAAGCTGAAGGAGGGACATACCCACCTTGCTGGCTATTTCCACCACCTGAACCCAAAAGGAAACCAAGCAGGTCTGTTGGGACCAGGGCCTCTGAGCAGAGCAAAGAATGAATCCAAAGGCAACCAGGATAATAAGTTTATGTCGTCAATGTAGTGATAGTAGTCGTAGTTTAAGCTTCCTGTAAAACGGAGACTAGTACTTATTATCAAGAAATATATGTAAACTATAATTACAGAACAACCCATTTTTTTTAATGAGTGAGGAAGAGACAGGGAGTATCTGTTTGCTTTTAATAACATGAAACACAATCCTCCCACCCACTCCATAGCCATTTCCTGGAAATGACCAGTTTGGATTTCTCAGAACATCATAACCATCCATTAATTGTGCCCATTTTCACATCCTCACACCCAGCCCCACTCTGCTTTATCATTTCAGAGACTGACTGCTGAGGCTGGAATCCCATCAAGCTCTAGCTTCTCAAGTAACTTCCAGCCATTCACCATGGAGGTTTCTTCAAGGACCTCAAACCAATCTCTGGAGCAAGCAATGGTCAAAATGATCAAGCAGAGAAGGCAGTCAGGCAACACCTTTATTGAAACACGTTTATTGAAAAGCAATCTTGCTTTATACAGGAGCTCAGTTACATGGAGGTAGCTGCAGTAAGGATGTCTCTTCCCCGTGACAAACCAAAGCAACTAAATCATACGTGACAGCAACAACTGGGCAGAGTGAGTCTATTGGCAGATTGATACTTATAGACGCAAAACAACAAAGATTATAAAAGATAAATGATTGTCTCTTCAGCACTGCATTTGGCCTGTTATTTTTTAAAAAATAAAATCGTTTTCTTTTTAAGCTAGCTAATGACAAACTTGAATAGGCTTAGTTCTTAAGCATTAAATGAGGATTGGCAGGGGGAGGAAGGGATACATATAGAAAGAGATTATAAAATCAAAGAATGGTAGCAAGTTAGAGCTGGAAAGGGCCTTTGGCCCCAATTGTCAATTTCTGTCCTCTGACTCTGACAATGAGTGTTCTGCTGAGGTCCCCATGGTAGGTGATGAACTGGAACTTGAAAACACTGCCCAGTATTCATCCCACCCTCCTATTGTGAATATATCCTACTCATTCCCAACTCTATTATTATAAGACAGCACATGTGTTAACAGTTACATCAGCATATCCATGCAAGAGACTCAGGTTCCATTCCAGGTCAATACCCTCACACGTTGCCACCAGCCATCTGTCCGTGAGGCTTGTCGCTATGATTTTGAATGTATTTCAGTAGAGCATGGAGGTCAAGATGAACTAGGAAGACCTGGGGATCTACTTCTGAGAATTAGCCAATGAGAACTCTATGGGTCTCATGGTCTGGTCTGCAGTCAGTCATGGGGATGGCACAGGACTGGATAGCATTTTCTTCCATTGACTATGAGGTCACCATGTGTTGGGATGACTTGATGACAGATAACCACATTCTTTAGGTTATGATGCAAATCTTCTGAATGGTGAATGTTGTATTCATTTGCATCAACAGTTTTGCTTTTTGTAACCTCACAAAGAACTGGGCAGAATGTTGTTGTTGTCATGTATAGTTAAGTAAGAACCGACCTATTTATAGCTTAACTGTCCTATTTATAGCTGACCCTCCAGTGGGTTTTCAGAGGCTATACAATACATGGAAGAAGACTGTCCATCCTTTCCCCCACGGATTATCTAGTGGATCAGACTGCCTTTGTGGAGCAATTAATCTCTCACAAAATAGACATTTCCATAATCCTTTAGGTTCCTGTGAGCCATTAAACCAACTGTAGACGTTTGGCGTCTCCAGGACAGGTGGGTGCTAGGGTTGTATATGGAGATGTATCGCTTCTGCATCAGCTGCTTTGATTAGTGTTTTTCATGGTCTCCCTGTGGCCAATCTTCAGGGTAGAGAGAAACTGTTATCTTTTAAAGACTTCTGTATTTTGATATATATATAGTACGTGCTCAATAAATCTTTGTTAAGTGAGTGATAGCTAAAGGGAGAAATCTCTCCACATCTCACGTAAGTAAAGAGGCCAAAAAAAAACCCCCAAACAAACAAACAAAAAACCATCCCCCAGCTAGGACAGGGGTGACAGACACTCCAGCAGAGATAGAGGAAGGTTTGCATCTCTAGATCCAGGGGCCTCATCTATAAGAGACAATATACCTGCCCTTAACCTGGGCTAATGACTCCATCCTATTGGGTGGACTCTGTTCTCTAAAATAACCAGGACCCTGAGATTCCCTGTGCTAACAGTTACGGAGCTCTCTGGTTCATAGGCCTTACTCAGGATGGCTGGAAATACTACTGAAAACAGCTGAATATTGAAACCTCTACCAATATTCATGCTCACAACACATAAGAGGCTTCTCGGGCTGTGTCCCCCAATGAGCTGTCTGCATCAGGCCCTGCCCTGGTGAGATTGGCTGAGCCAGTGTCCCTAGGAACTATCAATGTTAAAGATGAAACTAGGAAGCCCATAAGAAATTCTGCAGCCCACAACATCCTCCCCATGCCCTACAGCCTCTATAATTTCATTCCTAGCCTCAAAACTTGCCCCCAGACTCCACCCATTCCCAGTCACCTGTACCTACGTGCCTGTCCATGTCCCTTTCACCTAAGAAGTTGGAAGGAGCATTTCCATTTCCACCTCTTCCTGACCTCTGTTCCTTTCCTCTCTCCCATGACACAAATCTGAGATCCTGCTTGACCCACCTCTTGCTGGGACATCTCCCCAGCTTTGGGGACCTTCTGTTTCTTCCTTCTCACATCCTATCCCACATCTCCACACTTTCTTATCTCTTCCCTAAGACCTTACAGGATATTTCTCATTTCTTCTTTACATCTAAGACTATGAACTTTGTCCCCCATAGTTTTCCATCCACTTTCCCTCACTCACAACCACCTCACCTCGGTCTGAGAAAAATGAGTCTGCAGGCCTGCTGAGGGAGGAAGAAAGGAATAATTGAGCTCCCTCCTTCCAGAAACTGCATTATTTTGTTTAAAATCTTACTTACAAATTCCCTCACTCTACCTGCATTAAGTGAAATGACAATTGTGATTGTTGTAAGAAGGCATCAGATTGATCACAACTCATAGCAACCCTATGAACAATGGCTCTGAACCCTGCCCTTTCCTGTGACATCCTCATCACCTTGTTGATTAGAAGTTAGTATTAGCCTGGTTCATAAATTATGAGAAAGTTCTAGACACACAAACAACCAAAGCCATAGACAAAAAAGAAGCTCTCACTGTCTCTCCCCCTGTCCAAGACCACCTGCATTTTCTTTATAGCATTACTTGTCCTTTATCATAAAGATGATACTTCTTTCACAACTGAGTTCCAAAGAGGTCTCTAGTCTACTTGCTTTCTCCCATACCTGTTCCTTAACACATATGATATCTAATAGCTCATATTTTAAAAAATAATACTCAGTAGAGATGTATGAACTTTACACCAACCATCCTGTGAAGCCTTGATAGCATTCCAAAATGGAACAGCAGCAGTCCATGAAAAGGTCTGGTTTAAAATATTTACAACCTATACAACAGTCCCTCTGCACCATGGCTATTATACAACAATTAACATTTTGGACCCTTTCCTTGGCAAGGGTTAAAAAAGGGCACAGAAATCAGGGGACGTACAGGAAGCTGTACAGAATAAAGACATCATCCTACCAAATTCTACTTTTCCAAACATTCCAATGGATGGTGGTGCCTATCTCTCAGACTTCTCCACATTATAAAATGCAGTGACAACCCAAGCTATAGGAGCTGCTCCAATACTCAGAGCTCCTAGATGGACTGTACATGGAGGAACTGGCACATTATTAGAGGAAGAGACACTGAGTCTCAGCTCCAGGAAAACATGTCCATTCCTGCCTCCTGTCTGCTGTGGTCACAGAGTTCCTTCCGGTTAGAATGGCAGGCCATTTCTACAGCCCCGGAAGTGGTCTCAGATCTGGCTGATGATGGTGCTGTCCTTGGGGAAGGTGTAGCTCAAGGGTGCCTCATAGAGGCTCCCGCCGTCGGTGCTGAGGTCATCGTCATCATCCATGTCGTCCAGCACTTTACTCGGGTACTTCTTTAGCCTGTGGAAACAAGGGACATGGCTGATTTGATTTGGAGATGGAGGACGCGTCCCTGGTTTCTGCTCCTCTGTCCCTTTGAGTGGAATATAAACACGTGCCACTAACTTGCCTGCCTCTGACTTTAAAAACAGGGAGCGCACTTCCCTTAAGTGTTGGAGACTCGTGTTTATAAAGTGGGCAACACAGGGCTCAAGCAGGATATAGATGATTTCTCCTTCTTTAAAAAAATGTATTTTATTAATTTTTACTTGAGCACCACAACAAGATAAAGGTAAACAATCCAATTGAAAAATGGGCATAGGATATGAAAAGACACTTCACCAAAGACATTCAGATGGCCAACAAGCACATGAAGAAATGTCCAAA